AAACTTGAAATGTGAAAAATCTCAAACCACTTGAAAAGATAAGAAATTGGGGAAGAAATGATTTTTCAATATATATGAAGAACAATGGATTGGATTACTTGAACAAGCCTCAAGTTAATCCCAAAGAAAAAAAAAATGGCTTTGAATTTATACCCAATAAGAACAAACTCTTACTTGTAAAATTCTATCCAAGCCCTCTCTATTTTTCTCTCTCAAAATCGGGTGCTTAATTTGAAGGGGAAAAAACCAGCATATATATAATGTATCGGGGCGCCTAGGCGCCATTCTCTTCCTCTTCAACTCCTAAGTTTCTCACAATTCTCCACCTCGTACATCATTTGATAGACCTCAAATTTTGGACGAACACAAGAAGAAGCAGCAAGCGCCAAACTCGGTTGCACCAGTCAAACCATGGTTACCTACGTACCCAAAACTTGGGATCAAGCCTCCGTAGTTCACCTCCACCTTCATATACTCTTCACCTCATTTCAACCCTGCCCCGAAGGGTCATGCCCACTCGGACATATCAACACGGACTAATGTGAAGCAAGTCCAAGCAATGCTGAAACTTGCTACCCGTTACCACTTTGGTTAAGATATCTGCTGGGTTCTCATTTGTGTGTACCTTCAAGAGTGAAATATCACCTTCCTCTATGACATCACGCACAAAATGATACCTGACGTCGATATGCTTGGTTCGAGCATGATGAACTTGATTCTTAGCCAAGTGAATCGCACTCTAGTTATCACACCACAATTCCACACAATCCTACTCAATCCCCAACTCATCTAGAAGACCCCATAACCACAATGCTTCCTTCACTCCCTCTGCCATGGCCATATACTCGGCCTCTGTAGTAGAAAGAGTAATTGTAGCCTGTAACATCGATCACCAGCTAACTGGGATACCATGTATGCAAAACACATATCCAGTAGTAAATCGTCGTATATCTAGGTCACCTGCATAATTCGAGTCCACAAACCCACTTATATGACATGCATCTCCACCAAAACATAAACCCGTATCCGCGGTACCTTGTAAGTACCTAAGGATCCACTTCACAGCTTCCCAGTGTGCCTTCCTCGGATGCACCATGAATCTACTGACCACACTAACCGCCTGTGAAATATCTGGGCGAGTACACACCATGGCATACATCAAACTGCCAACTGCACTAGCATAAGGTACACGATCCATGCGCACCTTTTCTTCCGCTGTAGCAGTAGATTGTTTACCAGAGAGCCTGAAATGTGGAGCCAATGGAGTCACCACCAACTTTGCACCTTACAACCCGAACTTAACAATAACCCGCTCAATGTAGCCTTTCTAACTCAAGAACATTCTCCGGTTCGTCCTCTCTTCTAATCTCCATACCCAGTATTTTTCTAACAGCCCCCATATCCTTCATCTCAAACTCTTTACCAAGTTGAGATTTCAACCTATCTATCTCCACCTTGCTTTTCGAAGCGATAAGCATGTCATCCACATACAAAAGAAGATAGATATAGTTACCTCCCTGAAGTTTTCGAATATAAATACAACAGTCATACTCACTTATGGAGAAACCATGCTTTAGCATGAAGGAGTCAAATTGCTTGTACCACTGCCGAGGAGATTGCTTCAATCCATATAGTGATTTTCTCAAGCGGCATACCTGATGTTCCTTATCCTCAACCTTGTAGCCCTCAGGTTGATGCATATAGATTTCCTCATCCAAGTCCCCGTGCAAGAAGGTGGTTTTGACATCGAGTTGTTCCAGCTCAAGATCATGATGAGCAACAATACTCAATAGCACCCGAATGGAAGTGTGCTTGACCACCGGAGAAAAGATCTCATTGTAGTCAACTCCCTCTCTTTGTGCAAACCCCTTAGCCATTAACCTTGCTTTGAATCTTGTACCACCGAGCTTGGTAGGATCCTCTTTCTTTTTGTACAACCACTTGCAACCAATAGCTTTCTTACTTATGGACAATGGAACAACCTCCCATGTTTGATTCTTGTGAAGTGATTCCATCTCTTCTTCCATTGCTGCCAACCAACTCTCACTATTGTTGTTTAAAATAGCTTCCTTGAAAGTGGCAGGCTCATCATCCTCCACCGAGAGTGCATACTCAACCAAATTTGTCTGCCCATAGTGCCTCAAAGGCTCGTCTGACCCCAACTTTAGAACTTGTTTGTAAGTAAGGCGTGGCCTAGAGGAAGCCAAGTTATCTGCAAGCTGTTGTTGTTGCTGTACCTGTACATTCTCTTGCTGAACCGCCTCTTGTTCAAGCCCATCATCACTCTCATCTTGAGTGTCTGCATGATGCTCCTCTTGAACATGCCTAGAACCAGGTTGATCTCTAGGTTCTATGTCAACAACTTGAGACTTTGTAGTCTCAACATCATCACCACCAGGCACTGTAGCTTTCAACGAAGCTATCATGGAGTTCTCATCAAAAGTAACAGCTCTGCTGATTATAAACTTAGAATCCTCTACACACCATAAGCAATAGCCTTTTACACCTACCGCATACCCCAAGAATGTAGCCTTCTTGGCCCTCGCATCAAGCTTTTCCTCATTGACGTGATAGTAGACTGTGCATCCGAATATTCTGAGTTTCTCATAATCTGCATGTTTTCCTGTCAATACCCTATAAGGTACATCTCTATCTAACCTTGAATGTGGAGACCGGTTCACTATGTAGCAAGCATTTGCAACCGACTCTGCCCACCATTCTCTGCCCAAACCAGCATAGGATCGCATACACATCGATTTCTCTCGAAATGTGCGATTCAGTCTTTTTGCGACCCCATTCTGTTACGGTGTATTCCTAACTGTCCAGTATCTCACAATGCCTTCCTTACCACAGAACTCCTTGAAAGCACCATCTGTATACTCAGTACTGTTATCAGATCGCAATGTCTTCAATGTCTTTCCTGTTCTGTTTTCAACCATTGCTTTCCACTTCTTGAAAGTGTCGAATACCTCATTCTCATGCTTCAAAAAATAAATCCAAGCATATCTAGAATAATCATCAACAAATGTAACAAAATACCTGGAACCGCCTTTGGAAATGACAAAAGTCGGACCCCATACTTCCGTGTGCACATAGTCTAGAATACCTCTGCTTCTATGTTTGCTTGGCTAAAACTGAACTCGGTGTGCTTTACCGTACACGCAATGCTCACAAAAATCCATGCAAGGCTTCTTCAAGTTCTTGAGCAAACGTTTCTTGACTAGCAGATCTAGCCCCTTTTCAGACATATGCCCAAGCCTCCTATGTCATAGCCGAGTGCACTCACATGGGTCTCCACCACTTCCACTTGTTCCAACCGCTACATCTTCTGTAACCGTAGTACCCTGAAGAGCATAGAGATTGCCTTCACGAATACCCTTCATCACAATCAAAGAACCATGAACAACCTTCTTTACTCAATTCCATGTTACAATCTTGCAACCACCGGAGTCTAAGGCACCAACAGAGATAAGGTTCTTCCACAAATCAGGAACATGTCTAACATCCATCAATGTTCTAACCACTCCATCATACATCTTGATTCTAATTGAACCGAGCCCCACCATTTTACAAGAATGGTTATTACCCATCAACACGGTTCCACCATCAGTGCTTCTATAGGTAGTAAACCACTTCCTATTTGGACACATATGGTAAGAGCATCCAGAGTCAAGAATCCACTTACCGAAGATTTCTTCATCACAAGAGATGGTGTAGCACTCATCGCTTTCCCCTCCTTTCGAGGCATAGCTAACCTCTTGCTTGACTTGCACCTTCCCGTTATTGTTGTTCTTATTGTTCTTCTTCGAACTCCTTTCGTTAGTACAATTCGCCTTGAAATGCCCAAGCTCGCCGCATTTGAAACAAGACATTTTCGCAAGAGGTCTAGAACTCGATCTAAATTTTTCTCCCTTACCCTTTGGTCGCACATTGCTTCTACCTCTTACAAACAATCCTTGAGCTTGCTCCTTGTTACCAATGGTAGACATGCCACTAGTTGCAATCTTTCGAAGATCATTCGCTAGAAGTGACGTTCTAGTGTCCTCCATCACAAGTTTATCACCCACAAGTATCAATGTTTGTGCTAGGTTCTCGTAAGACTTTGGCAATGAAAGAAGTAGTAGAAGTGCTTGATTATCATCATCTACTTTCACATCAATGTCCTTCAAGTCCGATATGCACCTATCAAACTTTTTGATGTACTTCCGGATTGGTGTACCTTCATCCTTCTTGCAAGTATACAATTTGGACTTCAAATAGATCCGATTAGTTAGAGTCTTCGTCATGAAGTTTGTCTCCAACTTTGTCCACACCTCCGCCGCCGTTTCCTCACCATCAACCAAGAAAGTAACATCTCTTTCAAGGCATAGAATGATAGACGCTCGTGCCTCAAGATCTAGCTCTTCCCAATCCTCGTCAGACATATCTATGCGCTTCTTCTCCTTTCCCGCCAATGCCTTGTGCAACTTTTAAGAAATTAACAAATTTTTCATTTGCATTCTCCAATATGAAAAATCATTCTTCCCATTGAATTTCTCTATCTCATACTTCCCAATCTTCACCGTTCCTCTAGTAGATATGATTTATCTACTTGTTTATCGAAAATAAACCAACAAAGTTCACTTGGAAATTTTCACAAACACCTTGTATGCACAACAAAGTTCAAGCCAACCCACCAAAAAATCGGAGCTTAACCACCCTGATTTAAGAAGATACTCTGATACCAAATTGTTGGGAAAACACTCTTCCAAAGATGCCCAAGATCAAACAAACTTGAAATGTGATAAATCTCAAACCACTTGAAAAGATAAGAAATTGGGGAAGAAATGATTTTTAAATATATATGAAGAACAATGGATTGGATTACTTGAACAAACCTCAAGTTAATCCCAAAGAAAGAAAAAATGGCTTTGAATTTATACCCAAGAAGAACAAAATCTTACTTGTAAAATTCTATCCAAGCCCTCTCTATTTTTCTCTCTCAAAATCGGGTGCTTAATTTGATGGGGAAAAAACCAACACATATATAATGTATCGGGCCGCCTAGGCGCCAAAATTCTATCCAAGCCCTCTCTATTTTTCTCTCTCAAAATCGGGTGCTTAATTTGAAGGGGAAAAAACCAGCATATATATAATGTATCGGGACGCCTAGGCGCCATTCTCTTCCTCTTCAACTCCTAAGTTTCTCACAATTTCCATTGGTTAAATCTGAGGAATTTGTTCGGGTTACTCCTTCTGGCTATGCACAAATGACAGAAATGTGCAGTGTTCTTTCAGGCGGGAAGTTATTGGTCATCCTTGAGGGCGGGTTTGCTAGTAATTTCTTCTCATCTACCTTAGATCCCTTAAAATTCTTTTTTCCTTTCACTAAAATTCCTGTCTTCTGCAGATACAATCTTCGTTCGATATCATCCTCAGCCACTGCAGTAATTAAGGTAAGTATCATCTGTTAATAAATCTTCTATGAATTGATGGCTATTAACTCTCTGGAGATCAATAAGCAACTTTGGTGCCATTTATGTGATTAGTATCTGCTTCTTGGTCAAGTAGTTGTAAACCTAGTTTCATAAGTCTTCACCCAGTCCTGGTTTCTCCACAAAACATAAAAAGGCCACTCTTCCTTTATCTTAACTCATCTTCACCATCACAAGAGGGAATCTTTTAAAAAATGAGACACGGAACCTTGAAATTGTGCTCCTGATTACGATGAGCTGTTATCTAAGGAGAACATACTTGCAGCTGGTATAAATGAAGCAGGGTGTGCCTCAATTCAAAAATCTTGAGAGTTGAACGAATATACTCTAGCGTAAAAACCTAAGGCATGAATACGATACATTTCCAATTAATATCTAGTCAAATAACTTTGTGTATGGTCTTGGGGATATAATGTTGTACACTTCTATTCCTAAACAAGAGTCTCAATTTATTTGAGAGAGAATTCAATGTAACTTGGAAATAACTGAATATTGGACCGTTAGATCTTGAATTGGATTTGTCAATCAACCGATACCAACCTGAATCTGATCCATATATAGTAACTTATTTTATTTGGTTTGGAGATGGGGATGGGTGCCGATCTTTGTTCTATTGTAGTATGCAATATATTTTTACTGCTGATGCATTCTTCTGTGTTCTCTTGGTTTGTCCTAATTCAATTCTCTGGTCATTAAGGTTTTACTTGGTGAATCTCCCAAATGTAATTTGGACTACGCAGTACCTACCAATGCTGGATTACGAACTGTTTTAGAGGTCCTAAAAATTCAGACAAAATATTGGCCTGCTCTGGAAACTAACTTTTCTAAGTTACAATCAGAATGGGGATCATATGCCTTCCATCATTCAAGCATAATCTCTTCAAAGCTCTTTCATCTGCCTCTTATCTTTCTCATTTGTTTATTTCCTCTTATAGTTTGTGGTCTAGCTTTATGCCTCCAACTCCCCTTTTCCCCTCGCTTGTTCCTATTGACATTAACAATTCAAACATAAAAATAAAAATAAAAATCCAGCACTAGTTCTTCTTTGCTTTGTTTATGGCTGAGGATGAAATTTTTGCTGCTCTGTTTTATCTTTTGCCTCACTGAAGGTGGTGATATTTTCTTCAACATCTAAACCATAGCAGAATTATAATTTCACTTTACTGCAATTAGTATTTGTTGTTTAGGCTATTAGGAGGACACTACTTTAGCAGGTTCATATTTTCTCGACTGACTGGCAATGCAATCCTTCCTGAAATTTTGACTATTTCCTTTCTTTTTCGTCGGAGAATGGCCTTCATAAAAACAGAAAAGAAAAAGAACACGAGCAGCAGTGCCACCATGGTGGAAACTGGAACGGAGGAGGTTATTGTACTGGGTCTTGTGCAAGCAGCATCGTTTACAATTGAAATGGTGCTAACTATTTTTTGCAGATATTAGTGTATCATTTTCTCTTGTAACTTCAACATGTGCCCCTAGCTGAGCTTTCAGGGAACCCTTTCTGTTCCAAGAGTGACTTTGTAATATTAGTGACGTTGCTACAAACAGATACACCCTTCCGAAGAAAAGGGGGAGAGAGAACATTATTGTATTTTTTAAATCCAAAATTGGTTCTCTCAGTGGTTGGCTTGAATTTCTAATCCAATGATTATCCTATTTTGAAATTACTGGCTTAAAGTTTGTTGGTATGACTTTTGCTCTTACTTTCTATAGAAGAGTTTTTAGAGGAACTGATATAAGTTTTGTTTGAAAACTAATTTTTAAAAATACTTCTACACTTTCATACTTTAGAAGTGCTTTTAAAGGAAACTACATTGGATCAACTACCTTTAAAAGCTCTTCTAACTAGAAGAAACGCTTTAAAAAAATTAGTCAAATAGGTTCAAAAGCTGTTTTTAGATCTCAAAAGCTCCTTTGGGGTTTCAAAAACGATGTCAAACGGGCCCTTGTTGATTTCATGGCAACTGAATTGTGCTAAAATAGTTATCTAATGCATAATAATAAAATATTAAAACTCCAAAGTAAAAGTGGTTTATATAGTACTTGTACATTTCATTCTGTTCCACCGGAGTTCCGACAAAGAGAAGGCCGAAATGACAAAAGAAGCAAGCAGTATAAGGACAAAACAAATTAGCAAGGAAAAAATTTTTTTGCAACAAATTACTCTCAATCGGAGTGTGATGAAATCTAGTATCCTGGAGCCTTGTAGGCAATGAAACTAATGCATTGCACTTGTCGAACGTTGTCGAATACAACGATCCTAACAAAGCCATTAGTGTATTCCATGACAGGATTGTCCAACTCGTTGAACACCTGTACAGCATATGCGCACCAGAACATAGGCAGCACATTTGTTTATTATTTAATGTAAAATTCACCAATGACCACCTAACTTCATACTTAGTGTCAAATTGGCCACTCAATTTGATTTCGCTTCACCATGACCACTCAACTTCATACATAGTTTTAGTCAAGCCATCCGATAACTTTATTTATCATAATCAATTGGAGGTCAATGTGACTCTAAATATGAAATTGGGTTGTCGTACTTCATACTTAGTTTTAGTCAAGCCATCCGATAACTTTATTTATCATAATCAATTGGGAGGTCAATGTGACTCTAAATATGAAATTGGGTTGTCGTGATGAAACAAAATCAAATTAGATGATCAATATGACACTAAGTATGAAGTTAGGTGGACACGGTAAAATAAAATTAAATTAGTTAGCCAATGTGGCACTAAGTATAAAGTTGGGTGATTATCTATGAATTTGACCCTTATTGATTAATATTTTTTTATATGAAATTAATATAAATATATTAGTGATCGGCATGTTGCACACTTTTATAATTTGTATTTATTTTTTTATTTTTTATTTTTTATTTTGGTTTAAATAAATCGGTGTTCCAAATTTTTCACATAATTTATTTTGGCCCACTAAGTCACTCGACGAGGCCACAAATAACTATCTAATCATAACCACATAAATTGTTTTGAAATGATAGTAACCTTTTCTTGTTTCTTTATTTTCCTTCTTTCTTCTTTGGGGACGAATCCAATCAAAGAAACCCTGCCCTTCTTTTATTTCATGTAAGCTGTTTAGGACAATGAATTAATCTAAGTTGATAGAAAATGCATGACAAAAATATTGACCTACACTCACAATGCGTGCAGGACTTACGTGCATTAAAAACTCCAAGAAAATGTGGGGCCCTCCTATTGTGAGTGTTCGATCAGGTTGCATGTCAATCATTTTTTATCTGTGTAGCTTGGTTGTAGTACAATCCTGAATCCTCATTCTATCGTTACCATCCCTATTACCTTCATCCTCAATCTCAACCTGGAAACCATTCACCGTAGGCTGCCTCCCACCCCGCCTTCCCAAGACTAATGCCACTTGCCTAACTATGTTTGATGATGTAGTTCATCAAAGAAGACATTAACTCGATAATGGAAATGCAAATCCAACGTTACTTTCAAATTGGCACGAGAATCAGAATTTTATCTTTATCGTCAAATAATGACACTATTAAAATGCAGGACGAAATTGAAAAACAATTGGTAGAAGAAAAGATACAAATCTTATGATAAGAGAAATTTTTAATTAAAATATAAACATTATTTAGATCTTAAATTAAAAAGTACGCTCAACATTATTCTTACCTTTAAAATTCAAAATCTACACAAAACACACACAAACACACAAAAACTTTGAGACAACCCCCAACCATTTTCGTCAGCACCATCCGGTCCATCCCTTGGCAATAAAAATCAAATTAGAAAAAGAAGAAAATTGGAGATAGAGATTTGGAGAGGGAACAAGGAAGAGAATGTACACAGAGAAAGAGATAGATGAGGGATGGGAAGCGAGGAAGAAAGAATGGGCAGGAATGAATTCTGACCGGGAGGTGTGGGGTTGAAAGATGAATAAATATATTTTATTTTATTTTAAATTTCTTTGTATTGAATTATTTTAATTGTTTTATATAGAAAATATAGAGTTATAATTTTGTTAATTTTAAAAATGGTTAAACATTTAATTTTTGGCCAATTAATGGTCATTCGGGCGGATCCATCCATAGGTTTTCAGACACACATTTACTCGAAGGTTTGAAACTTAACGGTTTAAGATGGGTGCTACATATTTTTGAAGGTTTGGAAAATGTGTTACAAATTTCTTTTAAATATATGAGATTCGAGCATACACGATATTCGAGATATATTATAAAACTTGCCAAGGTATGCATGTGAAATATGAACAAGGTATGTGATTATTAAGGCTTAGTATCGTTCCAATAGCAATGGTCATTCGAAAAGTTGGAACAATGGACTAGATTCAAAACGACATATTATCAATCCTTCATTCATGTTTTATTGTATAGTAAATTGACATTTTGTTTGACAAAATTTATTAATTATTTCAAAATCATCAAACTTTATTTCAGTTATACATTTAATAGATTCATAAGTATTATTCACTTAGATCTACCATTTCTTGAAATCTCTTTTCTGATTTAAAATCGTGGTGTAACGTGTATCCTCGCTTGTTTCGATCATGGAATAGATGAAATAAATCTTTTTTAAGGGTCACGTCCTTCACTCTATTACCTTCTATTTGAACTCTGACACTTCTCTCTTTCCTCCTCATTCCCTACTCATTTATATTTATTTACAATTAAATCATTTATAAACTCTTTTCATTCGAAGACAAAAATTTTGTTGTTAGTGGCCAATACGCACAACCTGTCCATCGAAGAACAAAATTGAAAGTTGTAGGATAACACTATAAAGAAAATTAGAGTATGGACTAAGTTGAAAATATAGACAATAAATGAGGAACTAAATCTGAAATTTTCTCATTCATAAATCAAAACCCCCAATCCCCACTCTTTCTCGTCTTCTACGAAGAGACAGAACGAAATTCAAATCGGAGGAACTCAGGTGATATGGGTCGCAAAAAGGGAGTATTCTTCAGTGACGAGGGTGCCCCGGATGACTTCGACCCGGATAATCCTTACAAGGACCCGGTGGCCATGCTGGAGATGAGGGAGCATTTGGTGAGGGAGAAGTGGATCGACATCGAGAAGGCCAAGATTCTCAGAGAGAAAGTGAAGTGGTGTTACCGTGTAGAGGGAGTCAATCACCTACAGAAGTGCCGCCACCTCGTTCAACAGTACCTCGACGCCACTCGAGGCGTCGGCTGGGGCAAGGATCACCGCCCTCATTCCCTCCACGGTGCCTTCCTTTTTTCCGGTGTTGATTTGGGCCTTCTTTCGATGAATTGATTTTGTGTGATAAATAATTGGTTTGGGACTTTGGGTTGTGACTTGTAGGTCCAAAGGTGGAGACTGAGGCTGAGGCTGAGGCCGAATGAGCGACTGATTAACTGAGCTTTGAATCCGAATAATTTGAGGTAATTCCACTGAATGTTTGTTGATCTGTTATTATTATTACTGGCCGTATTGCAGTTTTTCATTGATTTGTGCTATTTTGATTATATATTTGATTAGAAAATGGATTATGATTCTTTTTTTCTATTTTATTCAACAATTCAGGAAAAAGAATTCGAGTAAAATGGAAAGTATGCCCATTTTTGTCAGATATAAAAACGCTGATTTATTAGTTTGGTTTTCCAGAATGTTGGGGTAAAATTCGGATGTCTTTTTCATTACTGAATTGAACCACTGTGTAGTCTCATATGTGAAATCTGTATCTTTTCATCTCCTTATATTCTGCAGTTTGATTTGTGAATCTTGTATAGCTAGGCAATGGAATTTTTTGCCAAATATGAAATAACACCACCAACCCTCCTCCATCCCCAAACATGAGCCTTTTCAATGAGAGGTATCATGTGGGAAGGTGACCAGTAAGCTCAGCAAGAGCTAACGAAACAAATAATCAAGCAAGCAAGCAAGCAAAACCTATTCCTTACTTTTTAGGTTAATTACTTGGGTTTTTTACATGTTCAGTAACAGATTCATAGGATTTGATCATATGACCGCCAAACAATACTTCCTAGATTGTGACAATTCGTAAGGCTAATTTTATGTTGTCTTGATGCTTTGCTTCAGCCAACTACTATCATCAGCTACTTCTAGCTTCTTTAGTTGCCCTTCCATTTTGCTGTAGTTTTACTGATTTATTTTGTATTGTTTTTGAATGAACATATCAAATGAAGGTAATAATATATGGCTGTAGATGTGGGTTCTGCCACCGCCGGATGGAGAGAGAATTTTCATTACCTTGGTCCTACGTCGAATTGATTGATGGTGATTGAAGATTTTAAATATTTTTTCCTCCCTTTTCTACGAATATTCTTTTTTCCCTCTTTCCAGTTCAATGGCTCTAGTTTTCTGCCAATGGAAATCCAAAGCAACTTAACATTTAGTGTAACACTGAAAGAAAGAACCTAAATAAATGCAATTCTTTGTCCAGCATGTGCTCTGTATTTTATCATTCTGAATTTTATCGCGAGCTGATGCTTTATCGTTTGTTTACTGACATTGATGATGAATTGATCATGGTTTGCCAAAAGATTGATTGATTCTTCATGCATTTTACGCACTACAACTAGCATCCCCTCTCTTGTTATTAGTACAGATTATAAGATAGGTTGCTAAAACAAGTTCTTGAATCGTGAGAAGAAAGGGCAGAAAAATGAGCCCACCCCAAGCAAACATTTGCAGGACTGAGTTTTTTATTTTATTTTTATTATTATTATTATTTTTTAAATGCAGATTCAATCTTTAGCTCTGTATGTGAAATACGTTCAAAGTGTGCATGCAAATGTCCTGCTCTAAAAAGAGAGCATGCCGTGTGGCCTTGAGTTAATGTTATGATGGGTCCTACAACCTATCTTTGATTGTAAAGATTGTTGTGGTGCACAATCCTAGTTTTGTGCATTTAAAGGCATCAGTCCTTGGACGTACAATATTCACTCCATAAAGTCAAACTAATTGATTTTTTTTTTTTTTTCGCACTATGACAAACATTCTTTTTGATAGTCATAATATGCCACGTCAAGTGATCGGTAATTTCCATCACGAATATGGTTATTCGAATCTTTTATGAGAAGTAGGACATGATAACTCCCAAAGTTGTTACAAATATATCTCCTGAATTCTCTGTACCACAGTTTTGGAAGTCATATGGTGTACGAACATATAGTACAATTTGTCCCCTTCAACCTGTTATTGGTTTCGTTCATTAAGATGAATCACCTGGAACCAAGAACTCGAGCAAATCTTATGGCCCCTTCGTTCTGAATAATATTTAGTTCTCAGTTGATTTGACCAATTTGTATATTAAATAGTAATCACAAAAATTTTCTTTTTCCTTTTTTTACCAAACTTATATTTGACGTCTTTTAATGGTTTTAATGAACTCAAAATGTGCTTTTTAAGGGCCATCAGGCTCAGAACTGTGAAAACCCACAATTGCTAATGCTTGTTTCCGTTTTCAAGGGGTTTCTCCTTCTTGGACCATTCTCTGGTTTCGATAAACGGTTCTGTTTAGTTTCTTGGGAGTTTAGAAAATCCTTGATGCTTTTTTCAATTGCTTAGGTGGTATTGAACTCTTGCTTCGAATCCCAATGGACATTCATACTGTTTATATCTTCCCTTTTAAGGGAAAAAAAAGAGCAAAAAGGGAAAAGCTCCTTAATTCTATGAGTTCTCTCATTTTGCTCATATATTCCTTCTCATTTTTTGCAGGTGATCGAATTCAGGCAGCCGGCAAATCGAACAGTCTATTGAGCTCTTTTGCTTCAGTTAAGACTTTTGTTATCGAGATTATGTCTTTATTTTCATTCAGACGTAGAGGCCAACGGTCGGCTGATTTGGTTTTCATAGTTGTTTTCTTTTCTTCATGTTTGAAACTGCTGGTGACCTCATACGAGCAATGCACATATCAAAATGATGCAATAAGTTGCTTTATATCCGGGACTTATACTGTGCTGCATTCTTTATTGAGTGCAAAATTAGTGCTGCATTCTTTATCGAACGCAAAATTAACATTTTTTCATCAAATTTGTGAGGCAAAATTACTGATGAAAGTCCTCTTAGCTATAATATACAATTCCTTCAATTAATTATTACATCATTAGATATAAACAAACATAAACATATCCAAATTCGTAAGCTAGAAACTTGGATGTGTAGTGTGTTTTTCATGATACTTTATTCATTTGGTAAGAAAAAGCGGACCCTGCAAAAGTTGTCTGCTTTACAAATCGACCTTTCATTCAGGGCCTCTTCTCTGTGTTCAATTTCCTAACTTCATATCGATTTTTCTTTGAGAACAAGTCTCTTTTCCCTGTACGTTGATACTCTTGCTCTTCTTCCGGTCTCATTTTTCCACAACTGTCCACTGAGCCCATCGTATAAATTAAGGACGCCTTCCCCAAAGGTATCCTAAAGATTTATTTTGATCATACCATCAATTCAGTTAAATCAAAATATGTCCAATCTTTTGCATAATCTAATTATATTCATTCTCAAGGAACTATGCTGAAATTTGGTACATGAAGATGGTTCTATTATAATCCTATGAATCACAATATCTTTAGGTATTTGTATTAATTTACCTGTTTCAGGATGTTTGATGCAGACGATGAATTAGATAGCAGTGGATGATATATTACATACCAAGCATGCAATTTAAGCTTTTAGATAAAGTGATTCAGTAGGAAAAAAATCAAAAAACTGAACAAAAACTCGTTAAGGTCGAACTGATCGGGTGGAATACCATTTGTCCACGGAGAACCTTGACTAGCCCGAGCAGCGATAACTGCCTCATAGTTGAGCCTTAAAAACACCCTCTTATTGACTTCTGCTTCTCTTTGACAATCATTAATGTTAACGGTTCCCAGAACCTTGTTCTCTTCATATCTTCTTCTCCAGTCAATAATGGAGATTCATAATCAGAATTCCAGCTGAATGTTTTCCTAGCCATATCCAATGCTGAATCCAAATGACACGCTATAATGGCTTTCATTTCATCGTCATAGTCCTTAACTTGTACCCATTTTTCGATTATATCTTCGTCTTTACTATCCATTCTTCCCAACCTTAATTCAATCTCATGAGGATCCTCAAGTCCTGTTCCTAATAAACTCTCTACATCGGCTTAAAACTCTGCGAGCTCAGCATCACAAGTAATAAATGCTTGAAAATCCAAATCACGTTCTTTTTCATCATTCTCCGTTGGATTTCATGCTGTAAGAATGTCAGCATCCAAAGGGGTCAAAAACAGGAACCCTATGCCGCAGGAGTCGCTTCACTGTTAGTCTCCGGGATTAGAAGAGATGGTTTCAAACAAAAACCTTAAGAACACGAAATTTGGAATTCATCAAATTATAAAGAAAAATAAACTCACAAATTTTTATTAATGAATAATGGTCAAAAAACGAAATACCTCCCTCATTTATAAGGGTTTGCATGGAAACGTAATTTAAAATTTAAAACAACTAAAATTAATGAAAACAAAATTTAAGCAAACTAAAATTGAGAAAAAAAAAAATTCAAAATAAACTAAATGACAAAATAGCGCCAAAACTTTAAAATCAGTTTTTGAGTTCTAAATGAATTCGAATGACCGAAATTCATCGTACATCACAGCATAGTGATGAGTATTATTCGTCTCGTCCTCTTTTCAGGATGGTTTTATGGGTCCAATCCAGAGTTCAAATGTTTTCCCCCTACTATTACATTTTTCCCATTATGTCCTACATCAGTTGTAGTAGAGTTAATTTTGCCTGTCATGGAGTTCTACTTCTAGCCTTTCGAATAAATCCCCAATACCAAACTGTTCCTGAATCTTCGTTTCCTGTTGCCTTAAAAGATGAGGATTAAAGTGAAACCCTGTTGTGTCGACTAGCCAACTGGTTAGCCAAATGCACCGATGCATCGCGCGATTGGCATAGAAAGTGTCATCAGCCAAACAATACCATCGAGCCCTCTTCCTTGGCCGTTTTGCCTCCGAGGATGCTTGCAGTTTTTCTTTCGGTATTCATCGTATAAAGCTACGATTTTGTGAAAGAAACGAAAGTATTATATTTGGAACATAAAGGTTTGGTAATTCAGTTGAAACAGTACCCAAGTGAACAGGGAACATTGACGCTTTTGGTGTATTTGTGTAGACACAAAGAACAAATGGGTACAAACAGTAGTGGTCATTTTCGTATTGCATTTCATAAACACTTACTAGTCTCATTATTTGTTAACCGCACTAAGATCTTTTTTAATTTTGCTAAAAATCAAAATTTTAGTAAATTTTGACAAAAATCGATGAAATATGTGGTTGATAAAAGTGATAGGTCTCGTGAAATGTGTGGCTAAAATTATTTATTGATTTCGACTTTGACTTTATCAAGTTTTTAGCAAAACGAAACCTAGGCTAAATAAATGTTTGATTTATTGCATTGCTAATTTAGAGACAAATTTTGAGGGCATTGCAAATTCACTATGGTTTTTGTGATGGCGAGGTTTTGCAGTCACATACTAATGAAAAATCGACAAGCATTATATCAACAACCGCTCTACTAATCAAGGTTCATTGAAATTTGTGAAAATTAGTGTATAAATAGATAATTATTATATTGATTTAAGATTTATTATTTTTGTCTACCAATTCTCAATTAGGTTATTAGTTTTTCTGTTTGTCAAACTAAGAAACATGAATAGGATAATCAAATCATGCCAAACATTTAAGTTTAGTGACTCAATTGTAACAAAACTAAGTTTAAGAAATAAATTGGAATAAAATAAAATGTTGAGGTACCAATAACATTTTCAATTCGTACAAAAACTATTAGAGGATGGATAGTAGAGTTAGAAAGGTCTTAACATTTTTATTTATTTTGTCACCTGAATTTTGATTGGTTGAGCTCAAAGGTTTATCCTAAAATCTGCATTCTTACTGGCTGTTTGTCTTAATTTTGGAATAATGATATTTGTAAGCGCAATTTAAAAACAAGATATTTGGTTAGATATTATAGTTATGAACCGTGCTGGATATGCAGACCCCTGTCAGATAACACTAAGCGTGGAGTTAACACGAATTATTATATTATTTTTTTTCACGTGGGGCCGGTGAGGGGTCGGTAAAACCCTGTACAGAGCATTCTCCTATAGTCATTGACTATCTAAAGATATATGGTCATTTCTCATCCACACAGCCCTCCTCTCTGCCCTCAGCCACTTCCCAATGGCTCTCATAGCTAATCGACTCCTCTGTTACACCTCCACAAGAACACCGTACACCCAACTCCCTCTACGCCGTCCATTCTTCATACCATCATCCCCATCGTGGTCTCATCAGCCAAGAACATCATCTTCCACAGTCTCGGCGAATCCCAAAAAGCTCTCTTCATCATCAAGAACCGGAAGATATGACAGTAAGAACAGAAGAAGCTTAGTTTCAACTAAGGAACAACAACAAGAAGAAGTAGTAGTAGAAAAACAAGGGATAGATGAGATTTCAGTTGATAACAACAGTGCTACTATCGCAGCTGTTGATGATGGATTTGTAATGCCAGAGCTTCCCGGAGAAAAACCTGACTTCTGGGAAGGTCCTCAGTGGGATGTTCTTGGGTTCTTTCTACAGTACATGTGGGCTTTTGGTATCGTTTTCGCGGTAATTTATGTTTAATCTCTGAATCCCGTGATCTTTACTTGCTCTTACATTTCCGTTCCGCGGTATTATTATTCTCGATGCAATGGAAATATGAGGTTAAATCTAGGACATAACAATCTAACGTAGATAATTGTGTAAGATGTGATATTAGGAACAATCAATAAAGCTCTCATATTGTATTATTAGATTAGTATGTGTTCAGTTATTTGGTAGGAGTTGATACAATTCATAGTATCACAGACTGCAATTTTAGCACACGAGGTTCCGCGCCTCGAGAATCTTTCTCCCCTTTCTTTGGTCGGTAAGCCAAAAACAACTAGCATGCGCACACACGTTTATGGGTAGGGTGTCAGACAATACTCGTATACGAGGACATCATTAGTGCACTATTCGATAATATAGTTAAAATATTTAGCTGTTGACGACCTTGTTGTGCCATATGGGAAGAGGACTATGCTCGGTGCATGACACATGGGATTGCAAATTTCTAGGACATGTTTAACACTCCACCGCCGCACCACAACTGAGCCACTAGGGAATCCTCCTCCATGAGAAACGTCACAGGCATAATAAAACCGACTTTCAATGCGAGGTAGAAGTTGAAGTAATCTTCTGCCACACCGATGATTCCCCATCCCTCAAACATACATGCTCGAGACCAACTCTTAAATTTTCAGATCCGACTATCGACCCTTCAAACCTCTTGTTCATTTTCCATTTGCATATGGCATACTGTGATACTGATCCTGTTTGAAAGGAAGCCCTTCATATATATGCAGTTTCCTTAAGTTATCTAATTAAAAGTAAATATTGCTCTCTCCCTATTTGCGCTATCATGTTCATTATCTCTGGATTTGCGATTGACAATGGCATCTTCTTGTTTCTAGTTAATTGCTTGTGGCATTGCTGTGGCCACATATAATGAGGGAGCAACAGATTTCAAGGACACTCCAGTTTACAAAGAATCAATCCAATCTCGAGAGCTTTTAGATGAACCAGACACGTCTAATTCAGATGTTTTTGAATCAAATCCAACCGAACAGGCTCCTACTTTGGACTAGTCTTTGGATTTACTTGCAAATTTTGGAGCAAGAAAGATTCCACCTGCAGGTCTCCAATTCCATTTACAAGGTATTTTTGCATAGAAATAAGTAATTCTGTTATTTTTTTTCGCTACATTTCAGAAATGAAATTGAACCACGTCTATGTGGGTTTACGGGCTCAGCTTCTGATGCTATTTTTTTTATTTTTTTTTTATTTAATCCATTATACCAAAGTCAAAATTGGTTCTTCCAGTTAGTAAGATTTGGATGGACTCATCCATTCTACACGAGAAAGAGATAAATTTGGAGTGTGCGTGAGATTGGTTAATGGAAATGTATGGAAAAAGAGAAGAATGCGATCTTTCACAAAGCAAATATGTCATCTATGTCGAAAAATCTTTCAAAATTAGAAGATAATTCGGTCAACGGAGCGTTAGGCTTTGACAATTGATAAAAACAGTCATGGCAATTTGGTTTGAGGCATAGTCATATGTTGGAGTATTGACGTAAGTTTGATGTTTGAGAGTGTTTAAATTAAAATTTAAGTAATTATAGGCTTTTTTACCTACAACTTAAATAATCAATTATGCTATGCCAAACATGCACAAATATTTGGACTTTGGATAACAAAACACCATAATTCCTTGAGGCCGGCCGTGTACAACTTGCAAAGCTTACTTGTGTAAATATTTTTAGGAAATGATTATTTAATTTCTATATATTAGATAAAGGAAACTCTTTGTCCCATTGAATTTGAGAGAATTGACATTCTTTTAAATCCAGATCTAGGTGTGTCAATTGGGGTCCTATCGATTGTACACGCACTTGTATTTGTATAATGTGTATTTATACGCATGTATATTTCATAATTAACGTTATTTTGAAAGTTATGCCTACTCCAATATGACTGAAAAATCTGAAAATACTTTAGTTTGATTTAGGGATGACAATAACGCGGGATGCCGAAAATCCTCTATTACCTTCATTCTTAATTAGTTATTTTTTAAAAATACAATTTCAACAAAAAAAATAAAAATAAAAAATTCAAAATAAAGACCATATCCCTCCTCCTTGAGTTAATAATCCAAATGGTCATTGAACTTTATAAAAAGTTTTTTCGGGTCATCAAACTTTAAAAATCATTCAAGTTATCATTGAACTTTACATAAGGTTTTCACGAAATCATTGAACTTTACAAAAAGTATTC